GAGCCAGCAGTGTGCCCAGGTGGCCAAGAAGGCCAATGGCATCCTGGCCTGGATCAGGAAAAGTGTGGCCAGCAGGACCAGGGAAGTGATTCTTCCCCTGTACTCGACAGTGGTGAGGCCACACCTGGAGTACTGTGTCCAGTTCTGGGCCCCTCAGTTCAGGAAGGATATTGAGGTGCTGGAGTAGATCCAGAGAAGAGCAACGAGGCTGGTGAAGGGACTTGAGCACAAATCCTATGAAGAGAGGCTGAGGGAACTGGGGTTGTTTAACCTGGAGAAGAGGATGCTCAGGGGAGACCTCATCACTCTCTACAACTCCCTGAAAGGAGGTTGTAGCCAGGTGGGGGTTGGTCTCTTCTCCCAGGCATCTATCAGTAAGACAAGAGGGCATGGTCTTAAGCTGTGCCAGGGGAGGTTTAGGTTGGATATTAGGAAAAAATTCTTTACAGAGAGGGTAATCAGGCCTTGGAATGGGCTGCCCAGGGAAGTGGTGGATTCACTGTCCCTGGAGGTTCTTAAGATGAGACTGGATGTGGCACTTAGTGCCATGGTCTAACACAGTGGTGTTGGATCAAGGGTTGGACTTGATGATCTCGGAGGTCCCTTCCAACTCGGCTGATTTTATGATTCTATGATTCTATGATTTTGGTTAGTAGAGAAAGGGAAAAATAAGAAAGTGGAGATAATGAAGAACTGGAGGTAGGGTATAGCCAGAAAGACTGGGAATTTCTTATGGTTGGGGAGTCTAGGTATGTCTGTTGTGTTGACATAAGATCAGATTAATATACTTAAGATATTGAACAATTTCATTATTACTTCATTTATGGAAATTCTTTGCACTTCTCTGTCTTTGACATGCTAGTGGGAGTTTTATGCTGAACCCATGCCCTGAATATTTTCTCCTTTTTTACTGTCTGTTCTTCTGCTCTCTCTTTATTGAATGTTTCTTTCTTGACCTGCAGTATGTTAATATAAAGTACTTGCTATATTAAATGCAGAAGTTGCATTCTAAATCTTCTAAGGTACTAACTGAATTTAAAACTATTACTTGCCTTATTATAAATGTGATGAATACTTACCCAAAATGAAATGTAAACTAATAGACACGACCTGTTCAAGCCACACAAAACATTGATGAAAAGTTAAAAAAAAGACAAGTTACATTATCAGTCTAATTTCTGTTAAATCTTTTCCTATTTTTACTTACAGTAGGAATACACTTTGCTACTTTTAGGTTTCAAGTCAAGCTGTTCCTGGCTCTGACTTTGTCCCAGGCCAGGATATGCTTAATACGGTTTATGAAGTTATTCAGCATGTTCCTGACCAGCCGCAACAAGACCACCAACAGTAAGTTAAAGGCTGCGTTCACTCATGTGGTAGCTCAAAGGCAAAAACTTCAGCATCTGGAACAATTTAAATTTTGGTAGCTGTTATTTGATTCCATTGAGAGCGGTAAGGAAGGAAAACAGGTAAAAGCTACACCAGTTCCTCCACCTTTGTCTTTAGAGCAAAAGAATTTTGTTCTGCAGTACCTTGTCTGGGAACTCCACAGAAACACTTTTGCTGAGTTAAACACCAGGAAGGCCACAGCATGTTGTTCTTATGTGGTTAGCGTCTGGTAGACCTGGTTTTGTTCAAGTCACCTGCTGTGCAGCGCTTCTTGGCATAAGAAGAGTGGATACACTGTAAAGTTTCTGTAATTGCAGTATAGCTGCCATAAATCTTTTGTGAATATTGAAAGTCTTTCTTACAAATTAAGAACAGGACACAAGACTTTATTTGATAACAAGCCTATTATATCACATTGTCCATTTTTTTATGATGTGTTCTATTTCTTTTTCGGTTGAAAAGAAAAATACACACTCTTACCCATATAGTAGTCAGTTGGCTTAATAATCACATTGTTTATGTGACTGCATTAGCATGCTGTACTTACAGTACAAAAAATTTTGTGCCAGTTTTATCTTCAACTGTGTGTCCAAATTACATATGCAAACATACAGCCATGGTTGTAAAAACAAGTTGTGAGAAAGCAACAATGAATTACTAATTATGCTTTTGTTCTGCTTGGCATTTTTCACTTTGAACCCTAAGATGATTTTTAAAGCCAGATGTACAAAATAGCATTCATAAAGTACATATTTTTTTATTCTTCCCTCCTACATGTCTTCCTTCTCAATTCTCTCACTGATACGTGACCCCTCTGAAAAAAGGAATAAATGCAACAAAAAGGTAACTTAACTTTGTGACAGTTCAGATTTCAACTCAAACTTCGCAAAGCATATTCTGTAGTTGTAAAGAACTAATTTGCATAAACCTGTTTTGCTGCTCTTTTCATATTTCATATTTTAAAAAAGAAACATAGGAACAAAATTTTCACTAATAACACAAAATCTGCTAAGCATGATAGTGGGTAAACTACTCAGATTAGAAAGACCATGTTCATGAATTTTCCAATTCCTGACCTGCTGAGAAGGAACACTCTGAGTCATAAATAAATAAGGACAACAGTGAACACTGGTGCTTACAGCAGGATGCTTCAGCATTCAGTATAAGGGAAAAACAAAACACCACAGAACAGGGAATAAAGCTGGGAAAGTAATTGCAAACTCCTGTAGTGCAAAGTAATGATTGCTTATGGATGAATCCCACAGACTTGGTATGCAGCCATCTGTACAATAATCAGCAATATTCATGAGAAAAATGGTACAAAACTTGATTGTGCTCTGCTTATGGCAGGAATCTCTCTTTGTACAAAACAAAAAGAACAGATATGGGAGCCAAACAGTTTTATTAGTAAACTGATCATTTTGCTCTTATTCCCAGTGCTTCCAACTGGAACTGCTGTAATTTCATAAATGTATTAAAATAAATGTGCAAAGAAAAGTCAAAGGCAATGTTTCATTCTCAGATTTGCAGTCTGAAAATCCTTCAAATCCTCTCTTGAGTGTAACTTCACCAGCATTAGCTGGTGTTCTCTCTCTTGCTCTTAGAAATCCCAATGAGAGTACAAGCACATTCACAGACTAGCCAATGCCTAACACCTGGGAATAGCTTTTCCCTTCCACTTTTCTTTGTGCTTTTATCAGCATTTTTATCCTTTTATCCACACATGCACTTATGCCTTTGACACACTAAACAGTTACAAAATTTTAAATGCACATCAGCTCTTAAAAGGTAAAAATACCGCTAAAAAATAATTAAACTCTTCAACTCTCTTGGGTTTGGACTGCTGTACTCATAACCTAATTGCAGTTGAAACATGAGGTGAGATGATAGCTGGCTGTGCAAAGTTTTATATTCATGTGTTCACATTAGTTGCTGTTCACAACAGTCTTTTGCAGATTCACCTCCTCTGCTCCTCAAAAGAATCAAATGGAAAACTCAAAGTCAGATTTTGAGGAAACTGTTCTGCTCCATCTCTCCACAGTCAGTGGGAGTTACAGGACTGTCACATACTCAAGTATTTCATTAAGACTCTTTTAAGCCATGTTGGTTTGGGGGTTTTATGACATTTTTTGCACATTTTTTTCAGCAAAATATAAATTGTGTGACAAACAGTACAACAGGCTCTTCCACATATGAAAGAAATATGAAAGTGGCTGTAAATGCTAATGAGCTAGAGATTTAGCCAGCTTTTACAGATAAACACTGACAGCCCTCAACTGTTCTGATAACAGAAACTCTTTGTAACTTGGTTTTCATTTTCACTCCAAATGAAGATAATTTTACATCATCTCCCTCTCTTCTGATCCACAGTGTTTCTCTCAGATCAAGAATTAATCATTTCACAGATTTCTGCTCTGCCAGCTGCTGAAGAGCAGTGAGGATGCAAAGTCTTGCCAGGCATTTCAGCACAGGGTTTGTACTGTGGACTGCACTGACTCAGCCCACCATTACCACCACCCTTTAGCAAGTGCTCCAATACATTATTGTTGGTAATGCATGAGCAGCTTGAAATATCTGTCCTGAAAGAGCAGCAATGCAGGGTGCCATATTAGCAATTATATTATCTATGTCTCAAATCTGTCTTGACTTTTAAATATTAGACATATTATGCATACTGAAAATTCAGTCAATGGGTTGCAAATGTGCCCCAAGAGCAGGCTGAAGAACTGTTTTACTTCTGTAATTAGAACTGCTGGTTTGTTTACATGTTTATAACAGTGTTTTTTCTAAAGAAAAGAAAGGCAGCATTGTGGACAACTGTTATATATATCTATATATATGTTCTTTCCTAGATGTATATGAAGACATGGGAACAGGAAATCAAAGCATCTACAAGTACTTCTTTTTCTTTATAACATACTGAAAGGAAATGCCAACAACTCCAAGAATGGCAAAGGCTTATGCCACGTTTGCTTGAAATAGCAATTTTTCTTCAGACTGACAGTCCCTTTCCTTGGGGTGCTCCAAACTGCCCATTTCTTAATTTTTTCTTTTTTAAAGTAATAATTCCCTGAAAAATACACGTATTTTTCATTAATTTCTTTTCTTTATTGGTGAACAGAAAAGACAAAGAGACAGCTTTAAAAATGCAGTATAAAACCTATAGATTTTAGTAAAATAATCAGTAGAGGCACAAGAAGAAATCAGGCCCAAGATGCCACCCTCACTTGTTTTATTAAAAAATGGCAAAAATCGCATATGAGAGTTTTTCATTGGTGTTGACTTTTACAAGAATACTGCCATGAAAAGTAATAAATGCAATATGACAGATTGCAAAATACATTTGAGGTTTAAAATAAAGTCTTTTAACTCATTTAATGTGACACTGTATTTTAATTTACAAACATAGAAGCTGATCTGTCAGGCAGTTAGAATTTAAAAATGTACATATGTATATTATTCAAAATAATGTGTTCTCATTAAATTCTGTTTCCTTTGCATTTTAACTGTTTTTCTATTTTCTGCTGAAGAGCATGTTTCTCATTGACTAGGAGAGCAAGTAATATTCAAGTTATTTCTTAAAGCTGCAGAATGTTCAGGCTATTTGTGTATTAAAATGGTAATTCTCCAGTGCAAATGAATCCGATCTTACTCTGTTTAAACAGTGTGCTACAAGTACCTTCACAAATAGAGGAATACTCTTCCAGAAGCTTCTGTTAGCAGGCATCTGAATCCTGCAGAAAAACTCACTATTATTTCCTCAGAGTCAGCTATTAGATGGTGTCAGTTGGCTGCAGCCAGGGAAAAGGGGAATTATGAACTGAATTAATCTGCAGAAAAAAAAAAAGGATACTTCAGTAACAGCTAATTGTGTGGGAAATCATTAGTGTGAGTAATGAGAAAGCATACAGTGTCTCCATCCTTTAAGACAGGCTGAATGGGATTATTTAAAGCACTCTTGTTTATGAAAAATTATTTCCACTCATTTAAAGTACCTCCCTAATATGCATTTAGTAAACATTCTTCCTGTCTCCATCTTTAAAACACAAGGAAAAATAACACAGTTTTCAGTGAATATTCTGATCTTGTGATGCTGAAAAAAGGGAAAAGGACATCTTCACCGTTGCATGTGAGGAAAATAGGATTTGGCATTTCACAGAGGCAGCTGATGCAGCCCAAATATGCAAGAAGTACTGACGTAATCTAAAAGAATGTAGTCACCAGATTGGCTCCCTAAGAAATAACCCTCTGACATGAAGGCATCAGGCAGAGGCTGTAAGCATAAACATTTGGGCAAAATTCTAAAGTACTGAAGTTGTCCCAAAGGACTTATTTAGGAACTCAGGGGGTTCCCCACAAATCCCCCCATTGTTCATTTAAAGCTGACTTCATCTGTGTGTTTCACATTGAGACAGCCCTTTGGGATGTGCGAAGTCTGAGTTTCTGCTTCTTTTTCTTTTCTTGATGGAGTGCTCTGAAATGAGCATACAGATTTCTTGAGACCATTCCATCCAGACCATCTCAGACATATAATGTCACTGCAGGGCCACAGGGCAGCAAGTGCAAATGGATTAAAAAAAAAATTACTGTTTCTGCATCTCTAGAGCCTTTGTATTTAAAACTGACAGTAGTATACATTTTTCTAAGTTTTTCTGATGAAAATAAAAGAATTGGTTCAATATCAGTTCTGTTCTGCATGCTTTTAAGCTCACTTAGGCCCATGCCTAAGTGCATTTTAAGTTTCCCCATTTTGTTTCAGAATCTGTGTATGTGTCTTGATAATGGATCAGCAAGCTGTTTTGGATTAAGCCATTTGTCAATAATGCGAGATGACCTCAGCAATCCAAGACAAAAGTCCACCCTAACAGTCTATCAAACTTCTGCAAAATACCTGTAAAAATACCTGTAATTTTAATAAAATAATTTTGTTTATGCATCACATAATGCCTAATAGTTCTGTGG